AGTCACATGTGTAATGGCGGCATAGACTTAGTAAGTCACATGTTTAATGGCGGCATAAACTTCCTCCTACACCAAGCATTCGAAGCTGCTGTAGAGTATAGAGCCAAGGTTTGTTTATCATATATAGACTGTCTTTGCAAAGCAGCACGATCACCTTCTCTGAGAAATTGATCTTGGGAAATTTCAATACTTCTAGCCCTACATCATTGTTGGATGACCCCAGCATTGTCTTCTACCATGTTTTCCGTTGTAACTGAGGACTAGCTTCCAATACTGCTGTAACCAACTATTTATGGTCTTGTGGAATAATTCTGTTACTAGTTGCCCATGAACGTAGCATGTACCTTACAAAAGGTGAATGCATGCCATATGAATCTATTGCTTCCTTAAATCTTCTCAAATCTAACATTTCCACAGGATTCCAGTAAGCAGTTTCATAGCCTTGGGGATACCTGTATTTTGGTGGTTGTTCCTGTATAGTGACTGGATAAATTAAAGTTGCTTTTGTTTTTTGTTTTTTGTTTTTTTGAGACAGGGTTTCTCTATATTCCTTTGGAGGTTGTCCTGGAACTCGCTCTGTAGACCAGGCTGGCTGCAAACTCACAGAGATCCACCTGCCTCTGACTCCCAAATGCTGAGATTAAAGGCGTGAGCCACCAACACCTGGCCCTTAAAGTTGGTTTTTTGATAACTTTGGCCTCTTCAATTTTATAATGTATTTTCTGCTCTAAATTCTTTTGTGTCTGAATATTTTTATTATTAGTGACTTTTCCCAAGGCTTATATCCTTTTTAAAAAGATTTATTTATTATGTATACAGTGTTTTACCTGCCTGTATGCCTGCAGGCCAGAGAGGGTACCAGATCTCATCATAGGTGGTTATGAACTACCATGTGGTTGCTGGAAATTGAACTCAGGACCTCTGGAAGAACAGCCAATGCTCCCAACCTCTGAGCCATCTCTCCAGTCCCAGTTTTAACCTTCTCTAAGGCTTGTATCTTATGAATAGTACATTTTTCTACATTTTGTATTTTATCAGTCAATTTCTTGTATTTGGCAAAATTACCAAACTGTTTTTAAGGATAAAATATGAGTTACCAAACCAATAATAATTACAAGTGACATTAAGTCAATCCCAGTTAAGTTGTTTATCCCTTCATTTATCTTTTCTATTTGCATCCCATCCATGGTAGCAGTAAACAGGCTCCAATTCCCTGCATTGTGGTATGTCCATGTCCTTTTTTTTTTTTAAGATTTATTTATTATGTATACAGTGTTCTGTCTGCATGTATGCTTGCGAGCCAGAAGAGGGCATTATTACAGATGGTTGTGAGCCACCATGTGGTTGCTGGGAATTGAACTCAGGACCTCTGGAAGAGCAGTCAGCGCTCTTAACCTTTGAGCCATCTCTCCAGCCCCTGTTTTCCTTTTAAAGACAAGGTTTCTTTGTGTAACAGCCCTGGCTGTCCTGGAATTCACTCTGTAGACCAGGCTGCCCTTGAACTCGTAGAGATCAGCCTGCCTCTGCCTCCTGAGTGCTGGGATTAAAGGTGTGCACCACTACCACTCTGCTTTTTTAACACGGGAAGATTTTAATATTGTTGCCTACCACCGGTATTTTTCTCTTTTTTAAAAAAATTCTTTGTAATTAATTAATTATTTTAATAGCCTAGTTCATTGTTTAAAAATTCCCAAGTACCTTACCAGCTGGATGCCCATGCTCAAAAGATGGGGTTGTGTAAAAGTAATTGGATGTAGTGACAGTGCTCGACCAACAGGTGGAGTAGGCTCGGCGTCAAGACTGCCCAGGATCAGCATGCTAGGAGAGCAAAAGTGTAAAGCAGCTGGACTAGCTACTGCCCTGGTGCTTGTGAGCTCGGAGCAGAATTGGCCTGGGAGGTTAGTGGAGGACACATGGATGAAATATGAGGCGCTAGGGATTTGTACCCCAGAAGGTAGAAAAGCAGGCTAGGAGGGGCTGGGGGAAGGGTAACTGCAGTTGCAATGTTTAGTGTGGCAGAATCACTCCCTTTGCTTGGTTTAATAATGCCCGCATGGGTACCAGATAAAACAATTTATTTTACCATTTGTTATAAAATAAAACTTGGAAACAAATATTAATGATAAAAGCCTGAAGCTGGGCAGTGGTGGCGCACGCCTTCAATCCCAGCACTCAGGAGGCAGAGGCAGGTGAATCTCTATGAGTTCAAGGCCTGCCTGGTCTACAGATTAAATCTGTGCGCCACCACCGCTGTGCTAAAGAATTTTTTTTAATGGAGTCTTTCTATATAGCCCAGGCTGGCCGCAAGCTCCTGTCTTAAGTTCTCAAGTGTTGGGAATACAGATGTCAGCCACCTTGTTTGGCCCTTTGAGCATGTGATCATTGTCATGTATACCTGGACTTGCACATTTTTTTGCTATATAGCACTTCACTGTAATTTCATACCACAGTTTATCTGTTCTAATGACAAGCCTTCAGTTGTCTCAAGGGTTTTTGTTTCTTTGGGTTTTTTGTTTGGTTTGGTTTGGTTGCTTGTTTTACCATGATGACCACTTCTGTGAAGGTTTTTATGTATTTTCCGGACACCTGTAGTTTTACCAGAATACATTCTTAAGTGTAGAATAGTGAGTCATAGAGTGTATACACTTCAACTGTACTACATAATGATTACCTGTTGCCAAAATAGCTGTACTTAGTTATACTTCCAAGTGCAATTTATGGGATCTTTTCAACCCCATGTCTTTATCAACACTTTTGTTTTGTTTTTTAAAACAGGGTTTTTAAAAATATTCATGACAATATTAAAACTTTAAGTAATATGGACAGCTTAAAAGTGGAACTTTTCTCAGCCGGGCGGTGGTGGTGCATGTCTTTAATCCCAGCATTCGGGAGGCAGAGGCAGTCGGATCTCTGTGAGTTCGAGGCCAGGCTGGACTGACAAGCCTCCAAAACAATACAGAGAAACCCTGTCTCGTAAAAACCAATAAAAAAATGGAAGTTTTCTCTCAAAAATTCCACTCTATAGATATTTGTCTTTATGTCCATGTTTTTCTCCATTTTATAATATTTGTATGTATTCTTATGGTATATATGCATATATATGTGCATATACACATCACTTTTGTGCCAAAAGTTTATTCACATAAAATTTAAACAGTCAAGTTAACAAAAACATAAAAAATTTTGAGTTAGTTATGGCAGCAGAAATTTTTTCTTGCAAATAATACAGTATTTGGTGTTTCTGTTGAGAAGTTATGCTGTTGAGAGAGCAATGGCATTAAATCTTAACTCATCAGGGTCATGTTCCATGAACTTGTTGCAAACTTCTATGACATCCTCTAACAACATCTTAGCACTAGTTTTCCCATGGCTAACTGGAAATGGTTTCTGTTCATCTAATTCATAGAGATGCCCATCTATATGAACTAACACAATAAAATGAAGATCTGCTTTTTCATTTTACTTAGTGCCTCAGTCTGACCTTCATGTGCACTGGTCTCATGAATAACTTGAATAGCATCATAGTTCTCCAAGTACTTGGTTCTTTCTTCAGGACTCATTGACACAGATTCCTCCAGGTATTTTTTTCAGTGATGATCCAGACTCAAAGTACATCTTGTCTTTGTTGTTTGCAATGGTATGGATTAGTTCAGTTGTCCCACAGGCATTGCCAATCGTTTGCTTAATGAAATATACTGATGATGTAACATCTTATCCTTGAGACTTTATTTTATCTTCCTCTTCTGTCCTAAACACATCATACTTTTCTGTAATAGGGAAAAGGAGTAACACTGTGCACACTGATCGTGGTACCATGCTGAGAAGTTCAGGCTCCATCCCATACACATCAACAAACTGCCAGCTAGGATGCAGGCCTAACTGGCTGAGAAACTGGTTGATGAACTTGGGATTGGCCTCCAGCGGCAGCCAGAGCTGACCCTCCATGACTGCTCCACCCACTGCTCTCCAGCTCTGACAGTGGTCTCCACCGCTTCCGCCCGGCTACACATCACTTTTACAAAAACATTATTTTAATAAAAATTGGATCACATTATACCATTCACTGTTCAGCAACTTCTTTGTTTTGTCTACTTTGTTCTAATTTGTTTGAGATGAAGGGGTCTCACTTTGTAGCCCAAGCCAACCTGGAACTCATGGCAGTAACCTGTTTCATCCGCCAGAGTCCTGCGATTACGGACAGGAACCAACACACCTGCAGGCAGCTTAGCTTTTTTCATTAATTGATATGTTTATCATTTGGTAGGTGTCATTCTATGTAGCCATTCACTAAGCCTATACATACCATGTGCAGGTCACTGTTCTAGTCTGGTGGAATATATCCATAGCAGCTTGTCTGCAGGGAGCCTGTATTTTAGCATAAGAAATGATTAAACATTGAATGTTGTAAATAACTGAATTAGAAGTGTGGGATGTAGCTGATTGGTAGAGTGCCTACCTAGAATATACTAGGTTCTGGCTCAATCCCTAGCACTGCAAAAGACATAAATTAACAAACTAACCAATTGATTAGGGTGTGCTATAGTACTGGGGTAAAACTCAAAATGTATGAAGCCCAGCTTCTTTCCCCAGCATGAATAAGTCAATAACTGAATGCTATATTGAAAGGTATTATGGACTACAGAATAAAAAAGATATATGAAGCAAGGGTAAGGGAGGCCTGTTGTAGAGGGATTGTCCTGCTGCAATCTGTTACCATCCATCTATCCATCCATCCATCCATCCATCCATCCATCCATCCATCCATCACTCTTACAAGAGAGTGACATTATTCTGGGTGCTGGAGATGCACTGTGGACAAGATGCCCAATAGACATACAGCATATAACAAATACTGTAAAAGAAAAGTAGCTGGCTAGGGTAGGCTATTCAATCTAGATTGATGATAAATGCTTTTCTGAAAAGGGAACACATGGCATTCAACAGAATGCTATGATAGAACACTTGTGAATAACTAATTAATTGACCGTCTTTCATCCTAGGGTTGCTGGTACAGAAGAAGTGGTGATCCCTTGTGCTTCTGACAGTGACTCAGGAAGTATAGATCTACAGCTGAGCAATTTAGAAGACATTCAGAAAGATGCAACTAATGTTGAATTTGCAGGTGAAAAGGGGAAAGGATGTATTAAAAAAAATGAGTGGGGAGAAGGATTTTTGCCCTGCTTTCCATACAAGGAGTTGAACCCAAGACTTCATACTGCTAGGCAAATGCTCTACCACCAAGCTACACCCTAGACCTACAACAGCACTTGTTACTCTTGTAGAACACCGGGTTCAAGTCTGAGAACCCATATGGTAGCTTATATCATCTGTTACTCCAGTTCCTCTGTGGCATTGCATGTACATGGTTCACAGATATACACAGACAAGGCACACATATGCATAAAATAAAAATAAATAAATCTCAAAGAAAAAGTCTAGTCAAAGGATATTGATTGAATAATTGCTGGGCGACCAGCCCTTGGCTAGATTTTGATGATTAATTTGGTTCATGATGTTAAAACCTTACTTAGCACTAGTCTAGATATAGAGGAAGCTAAACTCGGTCCTCAGAGTTACTGCTTCACACTGCAGCACACTGAGTGCTAGAGGGATGCTGAGAAAGGAAAGGCCAGTGTGGCTGACAGCGGGGTGGGGAGGTGAGTGTGGGGTGAGGGGTGTCTTCGTGTGGATGATGGGACATAGATTGGCTGCAAAAAAAGTATTCTCATGTACTCAGCAAACAGGAATTGAGTAAGTATGAGATGCTGAGTCTGCAGTAGTAACTGTAACCAACCACCATGGTCCCTGTCTTCTGCACAGTGCAGGGAAGAGACCTTCCAAAATAAACAGTAACTAAAGTATTTGCAAGGCGTAATAAGCACTGTGGAAGAATTAAGAAGAGATTGAGACAACAGGTAAGAGAGCCGAGAACCCTACTTTAAATGATAATTGTCAGCAAACAGTTTTGGGAAGCCTCACGTGGACAACCCCTGGGAGAAGAGTAACCTAGAGAGATGGAAATGGAGCTGGAATGCACTAGCCAGGAAAGACCTGCTGTGCCTGGGGAATCACATTAACTCATTTATATCATATCTGCATTCAGCAGATACCAATGTCCTGCTGTGCCCTAACAAGTTCAAACTCCTGGAGATACAGCAACAAACAGCTGGAATTAAGCATAATCCCTGTGACAGGGCATGAGGGGTCAGAGTATTTGATATTTCAAAGTTCAGGAGGCATTTTGTAGCTGAGACCTGAAAAAGAGTAGGAACCAGCAAGGTAACAACGTGTGGGAAGGAGGGGGAATGTAGGCAGAGCAAGCTGCAGGTGCCAAGCCCAGAGGTAAAGGAGCATGTGGCTTGAATTGAATTGTAGTTAGCAGATGACAAATGGGAGAGATTCCCAGCTGTGGCTTTCAGGAGCCCAAAGAATACAAAAGTAGGCTTGAAATCCTCAGAGGATCCATTTAATCTTTTCCCTTTAGCTTTGTATTTTCTGACCCCCGACTGGGGAGCCATGCTTGATGTACTTGTCACTGGTGCACACACTCAGTGTGTTCCAGCTCTTTGAATTGAGTTTTTAAAATGTTCATGGCTGAGTCCAGACCCCTAGCATTTTCAGTTATTTGTGAAATGCTGATCCTTTGTTCTATAAGGCTATTTATTTTATCATTAAACTTGTTTGCTGGCAAGAAGGTCAGATTCAGATAGCTTAGGACAAACTTCTGTGTCTGGGTCCACACAGAGTAGATGACAGCTGATGTTATTTATAAGGGCGACCCACCAGATGAACAATTTATCTGATGGAGGATAAACTCATAAACAAGGTTTATGGGTTCATTGCCTATAAATACTGTCTGCATCTTTCTGTAATTCTCTTGTGCGTCAACCTGATCCCCCCTAAAATAGCCATGGGATTCGTCCCACAACTGTTGGCTGTGTGTTCCTCATCTATTGGGCACTGTTGTTCCTGTAAATTGACAAAAGGATGACTTCCTCCTCTGCTGCGTACTGTACTTCTGGTGAATAAAATATGCCCTTATGGTTTAGCATTTGTTCCACGTAATGGTGAGAAACTTAGAAGCCTGTTTTCCATCATTAGCTAGCTGACAAGGCAATCCAGTACAACGAGCTGGACACTGTCTCTGTGCATGGATCACAAGTTAGATTTTTGCAGATAATTCTCAAGGACGGTGGTGCAGATTTCTGGTTCATTGAAACAAAGTCTTTTAGACACCAGGGACCAAAATTACTAGCTAGCTTCTTTGACCAGGTCCAATTGATAACGCACAGACCAGTGGACCTGACAAGACTCCCTAAGCAATTAATGCTTTGCAAAAACCTGTTTATAGTGCAGAATCCTAGACTCAGATAACAATGTTTTAGTCCTGAAATTTATGTGGGTAACGGGAAAAAGCAATTAACCAATTAACCAGGTCTGGATGGAAACAGTTTTGTGCCAGTCACGTGGGAATGGCTTCACAGATGGCCAGGACTGAAGAAAATGACCTGGCCTCTGAGACTGGACTTGGGATGCTTTCAATGTTCTGAGACACTCCCCGCAGCCCATTGTTTTATGTCGTCTTCATGTCCCTTGTCCCCCCATGCACACTATGGGTTGCCACAGTTACCTCACAGCCAGCTCAAAAGTGGCCCCCAGCAGTGCAGCTGCACTCTTAGGAATGGGGCAGGGGAAGGCAACCATACCTTTATCACACAATGTCAGTCTATAAAACTTAAGACACTTAAAGAAATGTAGGCTAGTACACGACTTCTTTATTTCTTCCTTAGACCCCTCAATAGCTTAACCTTTCTCTGCTATAAACCCTTGTAAGCAACCTTCTTAAGAGATAAGGAAGCCTATACTCGCTTTTGCATCTGCCTACTAATCAGTAGCTGACAAGTTTATTGCGCAGGTGTCCCTTACTGTTTTACTCAAGGAATGCATCATAACCCTGAGAAAACAGTCTTTGTAGCTGTTTTTACCGCCTAAAGTTTGTTGTTGAATGGGTATACAAGCTGTGTGAACAAAGAATGAGCACACAGAATGAGAGCTGGAAATAAAGAAAGCATAGCCAGCCTCAGATGGAGTGTGTATGGCTGTTTTCTTTAGCTAGATAGGAAATTCTTTTAAATCCTCGCTGCTTTGAAGGCGTTCTGGCTGCCGCCCTGCTGCAGTTCTGGAGCTGGCCTCACAGGCTACAATACTTCTGTGCCTTCTCATCTGTGTATCCGAGAGAGCAGCTTCTCTTGACCTCTGTGTAGTTTGTTTTTTCTTTTTTGGTACAGTTGTTGAAAGCAGGGTGTGTTCCCCTGCAGGCATCCCCCACCCCCAACCCGTTTAAAGCTGAAAGTTGACTGTAAACATTTAATGTTCGTTTTTTACCCATTTGGCACTCTGAATTAAGATGGAAGAATTTTTAGAAATTATCTTCCTGAAAAAGCCTGTGGGACCATTGTGACCTAAGAATATACTAGTCTCCTGAAAAACTTCAACCATTTATTCAAATTCAGACTATTGGAAAAGGTTCTAGGAGCACCAGTCAACAGTCGGCAAAGGCATTCAGACTTGAGATTATAAAGATTATCTCTTCACCATTTTGTTACTGCCCAGGCCTAAAAGTCCTTGTGTCTGAAGGCTCTAAGAACGCCAGTTTTGCAGCTGAGAAAAAACAAGAGAGTTGGAGGGGGAAAGGTCTTGGTCCAGCAGACAGGAGAAGCCGTGAGCCCCAAGCCAGTGCCCTGCACCATTTCACACCACAGAGGTGTCACCGTATCTGTCTTCTTATTAGATTCGGACATCGCTGACATCCCTGAACTCATTCAGGAGCCCCTTCCAGATAACCTCACACCCCTGACTCCCCAGGCACCACTCAATGAGGCCAACGTTGAGAAGCTGGTCCAGTCCATCCAGGAGGTTTTACATGGTGAGCTAAAGGTATGCATGGCAGTCTTGATGAGCAACCCAATTTATTCCTTTTAATAAAAATATTCTGAACATGACTCATTACATACATAAATACTTTATTAATTATAACATGTATTTATCCTTGCAGTTTTTATATTTATAAATTATTAGATTTATATATTATTTATATTTATAATAAATAAAATATTAAATTAAAGCCTTAATAAAAGTCAAAGATTAATCTTCTCTAGCCTACTCTTTTGAAATAACCACTATTAGCATTTTCTGTTCCTACAAATGAATATACTTACAGGAAGAACAATCCACATGGTTTAGGTGAATAGCTGTGGATCCGTACTGCCAACTTTACTGGAAATACTGGGTTCTATTGCTGAGGAGAGCCAGTCTCCCATCCTAATGTGGAGTAGTTTGCTTGATAGCATTGTGGGGTATTCTATCACATTGTGAACTCTGAGTTTGCATTTGTGTTAAATAAAATCAGCCTTGGGTCAGGAGGCCTAATTAGCAACTAGTTGACAGAAAGTAATCATAGAGAGCCATAGAGTGTCTGTAAGATGATAGACACACAGGAAATAGTAGGGAGGGACTTGGTGTAGTGTAGGTTCTTTTTTGGTGCAGCAAAAGGACACTGTAATACTGATAATCATCATTCCTTGTGGGTTAAATGAGTGTTCTTGGTTTATAAATTTTTTAAGATTTATTTATTTATTATGTATTTATTATGTATACAGTATTCTGTCTGCATGTATGCCTCCAGGCCAGCAGAGGGCACCAGATCTCATTATAGATGGTTGTGAGCCACCATGTGGTTGCTGGGAATTGAACTCAGGACCTCTGGAAGAGCAGTCAGAGCTCTTAACCTCGGAGCCATGTCTCCAGCCCTGGTTTATAAATTTTTTAAAAATTATGTATTTTTTGTATAATGCTAATTCAATAGTAACAACAATACACTAGAAGTCAGTTTGTTGGTATTCACTTTTGATGTGAAACTTTTTATTTTTAAAATTTGGAACTATTCTCTGTGTTCAATATTAAAGGTTTTATAAATATTTTTGTTTAATAAAGGATTTGGATTGCTGCAGTGAATTAAAACAAAAGAAAGCCCATTCCTTCATTAACAAAGGAATAGATAAAGAAGAAAGTAATTATATGAGATTATCTCAGATGCTGTGATAGCTGTGGCTGCACTTAGGAAGGGCTGACAATTCTGCTTCAAGACAAAAAGGACAATCCAACTCTTTTTTTTTAAGATTTATTTATTATACATACAGTGTTTTACCCACAGTCCAACTCTTAAAATACATGCATTTCTAGCAAGAAATGTAGAGAAGGCAGGAGGTTTACAGGCCCAGATGTAAGAAAGAGCATCATGGAAGTTAACTGACAGTTGTGACTGCCTCAGGTCAAGGCAAGACATGATTTGACAAGTTCAGCCTGATCACATGGGTGCTATTGAACTACTGTAGATAAGGAGTTACCTTATCATTATACATTTGAGAAAAATATACCTGGTCAAAAAAGTAAAAATGAAAAAACGAGAGCAAGAAATGCGGGCTGGTGGAGCACTCCTGCAATTTCAGCGTTTGGGGTAGGTGAGGCCAAAGCCACTCCTTGCTCGTTAGGGAGTGTGTATGCGTCTATACCACCTGTAACTGGGGGAAAGACGGGAAGAAATATAATCTGTGCTTTCCTCTTTGTGCTTCATTTCAGAGTTTCTATAATAAGTAGATATTGCTTCTCTGATCAGAAAAAAAGAATGTCTGTATGAGAAGACTTTATTCAAATCAGAACTTCCATTTTTAAAGGAAACCTTAAGAACTTTAATGGGGTCAGAAGAACTAGAAGTAGCAGATGCAGGGTCACCATTGGGCATCTTAATCGGGTAGCTCGATGGAGGGTAGGTGGACGGTGTGGTGAAGCCTGAAGGTGGGGAAAGGAAAGCCTAGAGCACTTAGGGCTGCAGGTGTGATGGAGGGTGTGGTGTGATCCCCAGCCAAGGTGGTGGATAAGGAAGTGCATCGGGTCCTTCTGTACTTTGTGCACTCCTTATGGTTAGAGACTGATCCTGGACTGAATAAGATGCCATATGTTTAAAAACATTCCAAGAAACTTTGCAAAGCATTGTACATTTATCAAATAAGATGATGTATAATTGTACTTTTATCATTATCTCCACAAATTCAGGGTGAATCTGAAAAGCTGATGTTCCTAAGATCTTTGTCTTCTTTGAGCCAAACTTTACCTTATGACGAAACCACAGAATCATTTATTCACCGACACACACCAGAAATAGTGCATGTCCTAAGTGTAAGTACTGTCTGTGGGTTTGGCAGAGATGACTGCAGTGCTGGAACTCTTGACTTGGCCCATGGAGTTTCACCCATATTACCAATTCATTTCATAGCACAGACTGCTCAACAAGGAAAAACACTCTGAGACACCTCTCAAATGTAAATCACCTTGGAAATAAAAGAGAAGCAAAAGAGAGAGGAATTGCATTTAAATTTTCAGCAATTGAAATATTTAAGCAGTAGTTTTGGGCAAAGTCTGTCAAATGCTTGGGTTTAAGTGTCAGCTCTCCCTCTTTATAGCTGTGTGACTTCAGAAAGTATTTAACTTATGAATGAATGCCTCAGTTTTGTCATTGATAAAATAAGAATAGCTGTATTTACTTCACAGAGTTATTGTGAACATTTAATTAAAAATAAATGTAGACAGCTGGGTAGTGGTGGCGCACACCTTTGATCCCAGCACTCGGGAGGCAGAGGCAGGTAGTCTCTGTAAGTTCAATGCCAGCCTGGTCTACAGAGCTAGTTCCAGGATAGCCAGGGCTACACAGAGAAACTCTGTCTCAAAACAACAAACAAAACAAAACAAAACAAACAAACAAAAAACCCCAAAGAAGTAAGTTATATAATAGCCTCTGATATACCACACACTTGAGAAACATGATAGTGTTATTTTCACTATTGTATTTTTTTTCTGTTTGTCTTACTCCAGCTACATTCTGCCAAAGCTTATCTATTCATAGAATGTCTTATTAAATACCTGCCAGTTCCAGACATGGGCACTGAGGCTGAAAAGGCAAAAAAGACCTAATCCCTGCTCCTTGGCTTAACAAGCTATAGTCAGTTGTGGGTTTCTGACAAAAGTCTAAATGAGTATATGGGGTAGAGGGATGGATGGTCCATGTCAAAGGATCTAGGGAGACTCTGCAAAGGGGTGATGCATGCACTCACTCATACCTTTTACTTCCTGCTGCTTTAGTTTCCTGTCTGTGAAAGGGTTGAACTTTTTTTTTTTGTTAAGGTTGAACTTCTGATTTTGTCCTTGCTTATATATTCCCAGAATATGAGTGATTTCCCCTCAAGCCTGAGATTTGTAGGGCTTGTTAAGCTGAAGGTTAACTTCTAAGAATGAAGGCCAACAGCTAAGAGTGTTACCAGGAGATACAGTTACAGGGTCCTCTAGCAACTTTAACCCTAGAGGTTACAGACAGTCACCCAGAAATGGCCACACTTTGAAAAGCAAGTAGATTGGAAACTTTTCCAAATAGTGTATCAAGAGAACAGATGGAGAGAATGCAGATTTATGAATCACTGCAGCTTTCTAGTTGGCTATGAGCAGCCATAGGACCGAGACAATATGAATTACTTTCCAAGTTCGACTTGCACCAGGATTGACAGCAGTTGATTGCCACACATTTCAACCAGCCAACCTGAAAAATCCACTAATGCAAATCTTAGACAGAACAGGCCCATTCTTTGCAAGTGGGTCACCTGTAGTAACAGGACCATGTCTAGTATCTATCAAAGTATGGGCTGAGAAGGGGCTCTGTTTTCAGAAGTTAAGGGTAGCTAGTATCCATGAGAAAATTGAACGGATAGTTGAATCTACTTAGTCACGGCAGCCATGTGGACAAAGGTTGAAAAAGCATTCTTCCAACACCAAGAGGACAGGTACACAGCAGAAGAGGCAGTTTTGTGACAACTCATGAGGAGGAAGAGGTTGGAGTTGTTGCAGAGAAAGAGCTTGAAGGCATTAGTTAACTTTTCTTGACCCACCTTAATGCATGGCCAAATAACTCCAGGTTTCTAATGCTGTGATAAAACTCTGTGACCAAAAAGCACCTTGGGGAAGAAAGGGTTTATTTCACTGACACCTCCAGATAACTGTCCATCACTGAGGAAAATCAGAGCAGGAACTGATGCCAAGGTCATGGAGGAGTATTGCTTATGGCTTGTTCCTCATGGTTTGATCAGCCTGCTTTGATAGGATGACCAGCCTAAGAGTGACACTACCCACAGGGAGTTGGGCCCTCCCATATCAATTATTAATCAAGAAAATATTCCATGGGCCAGTCTAGTGGGGGAATTTTTCTCAGTTGAGGTTCTCTCTTTCAAAATAACTGCCTTGTGGCAAGTTGATGTAAAATTATCAAGCCAAATATAACAACTGAAGGCATTACTTTGCTTTTCTTAACCCACACTAATGTGTGGCTCTTGCATTAAACAAAAAACCAATGAAACCAAAGCAATATGTGCAAAGGAAGGCAAACAAATCTCTTACAGTTTTCCAAAGAAGGTTTCCATACAAGCCATGAAAAAGTATTCCATCATTGTGATTAGAGAAAAATAAGTTGGAAACACAGTAAGAGTCAATGAAACACCAGTAAAGTGGCTGGAATAAAGGAAGACAATAGCAGGTGCTGTTGAAGGTACAGAGTAACTAAAGTTTTAGTACACTGATGGTGGAGAGGCAAGATGGTGAAAAGTTGGGAAGTTAGTTTAAAAAAAGTTAATATACCTACCACATAACCAGAACTTCTGTGAAGATGTGTACACAAACATTATGGCCATTCTATTGTAGGTGGAGTTTCCCATCTAGACCTCGATCAGCTCTATCCCACTAGCTGCTCCCCAAATAATCACACAGAGACCTAATATTAATGCTCTATCTAAAGCTTAGGCTTGTTTTTAGCTATCTCTTTAATAATTTAATTTCTATTGATCTATGTGCTGCCCAAGGCTCATTCACCTCATGTACACACTTCCCATCCTGCTCACTCTGCTGAGTCTGAGGTGCCCAGGGTAGTACAGTCTTTCAACTTCCCTGCTTCTGTGTTTGTCAGTTACCCCAGGCCTTAGCCAAACTGGCTGCCCCTACACTGCTGTGAGACTTTGGGGGACTGCACCCATTGGAAGTTCCACGCTTCCACTCCTGCCTACCCTAGTGTTGCTATTCCTCCTCCTCAGGTCTTTGGTGAGGTTGAAGATTAGACTGTCATAATTGTTGTTCTCTCTTCCTAGATAGAAATATTAGGTACAAGACTTAAACTTTCCAGTTTAGGACAACTTCATAGTAATCTTTACCTAGGACTGGAGTTGTAGCTCATGCCATTTGCTCTAGGTTGCTTCACTGGCCATCGGTCTTAAATTGTGTAGTTTTTACCTCTCCTTCTCCTAGAGCACACTTGGTATTTGCTATCTTTGTAAACAGTTTGTATCAAGTCTAAATCTTCTTCTTTAGACTAAAAGGGGAATTGTAGTGACATAGCCACCTCCGCACCTGTAGCCACTGACCATGCCCTTTTGGATGGGGTCACAGGTGTGGATGTGACTGAATAAAAGGCACAGAAGCCCTTTAGGTCGTGGAGAGCATCAGGGTGGCAGGGTCTGCATCCTTGGAGCTGGGGCAATGTGACAGTCACTTGTTTTCTTTGTACGTTCTTTTTCCCCAAATAAACTGCACGTCATTCTATACTGAGTCTAGTGAATCCTGATTTCCACACCTGTACTCATGGTCTCCTCCAGCTCTGCCCTTCTCTTCAGCATTCTCTCTTCCTAGCCATGGGTCAATCATCTTTTTATTAACAATGAGAACAGCACACCTTCACAGTGTATAGAAGGGTTATTCCACAGCACTTCATGGAAGAGGGAAGCCCTGAAAATGACCCAGGTGAGTGGGTCAGCAGAAAGTTGTCTAAATAATGGACTACACAGGAGCATGAAGGGGTGAGTTCTTTTGCTTACTTGGCTGACTCTTAAACATGCACACAAATAAATAGACCTGCTGCAACTGAATCCTAGTGTTCCAGGTGCCTCTTCATTCTCCTTGGCCACCTTGGGTCTCCATTCTTCTGCATCCAGATCCTTCACAACCCTGCCTTCTTGTCAAATCATTTAGCCTCTCCAGGCCTCAGCTATCTTTTTTTTTTTTTTTAACGAGACAAGGTTTCTCTGTATTGTTTCGGAGGCTATCGGTCCAGCCCGGCCTCGAACTCACAGAGATCCGCCTGCCTCTGCCTCCCGAGTGCTGGGATTAAAGGCGTGCGCCACCACCACCCGGCTGGCCTCAGCTATCTTAATATCTGCCCAACTTTCATTGAGATCTTTGAGGCAAACTCATTTTTTTATTTTTAATTTTTTAAATGATACTATCTAAATTTTTTTAGAGTATTTCCATGATAAGTATACTCTGAGAATCTACTCAAGAACATCCAATTCAAACATAACTTTGTTAGTTTGTTTCTGTACATATATTTACCAGGCTGACATGGAACTTACAGAGATCCAACTGCCTAGACCTCCTACCATACCGGGTAAATTCAAGTCACTTCTTTCTTCACATCTGTTCCTCCCTTCCTTATGTCAGATCCAGCTTCCTGCCTTTTCTTTGCTTTTCCTCTACCCAGAGAAAATGTCTTTCTTTGCTACCACAGAACTAATTCCCACATGCGGTTGGTCTGTCTATCACTTGATCACCTAGATGAGTCTTGGCAGGTTCACACAGTAGTGAGACTGCTGGTGATCTTTTCAGGCACAAGTGGTGATGATGGGTGACACTGTGATCTGGACAGTTTCCAAGAGGCACCTCCCTCACAAGTATCCTCTAGGCAAAGACCATTCAGTTAGTCACCGAATCCTTGTAGTGGCTCACATGATTGTGAACAAATGACAAAGCCTTCCTCCAGAGGACCCAGTTCAGTTCCCAGCACCCACAGCTAGTGACTTGCAGTCACTTATAACTCTACGTCTGGTGGAGCAGATGCCTTCCTCTAGCCTCTGGGCACTGTACACACAGCATGTATTCATGCACACAAATGAAAAAAAATTTAAGAAAGGATCATTCTCACAGAAATGGCCCAGATTGAAATAAGAAGGCATTAGGCCTGAGGATTCAGCTAAAATGTGCTGTGTTCATCTATATGTGAGGTGTATCACTACAGAAATGAGTAACCACCAAGACTCTGCTAGAATTGATGAGAGTGGGGCGTGAACACATGTTGGAAAGTCATGTCATCTTTTCATGAGCCCTGGGAAAGGTTGACTGATGGCCTGGAAGACAGGTTCTTTAGAAGAGGATAATGCTATGTTGCAGTTGTGATTTTAGTTGTGACCCCTTGAGATGGCTAGACGTGGTATGTACAGCCCTGTCTGTTAAGGGTGAAAACAGTCTGATTGCTGTGTTCTTTCCAGGCTGTAAAGCCTTGAAGATAGAGGAGTTCCTTTAGAAACTAGGAAGAGCAACAAGCCTCCCTTCAGATAGAGTTTGAATCAGGAGGAAAACACAGAGATCTGAGCAATATCTACTGAGCACATTCTGCTGCTGAGGTTCATGAGGGGGAGGAGAACTCCACTAGAGGCAGTTGCAGCATGGGAAAGGTGCTAGGTTCTCCCCAGACCCCAGGACAGGAGGATAGCCCACCAAGGGAGAGAAGAGGCTGTGGTGCCATATGCTCCGGGAGGCCTTCTCTCCATTTACCAGTGCTCCTCTGAACATTTGTCCATTATTCCCTGTCTCCCCTCTTCCCAAAATTGCCTCTCTTTTATTTTGTTCACAGGGCCCATGCCTCTAAATGCCAAATTCTTTTTGAAGATCAGCCAGAGATTGCTTTGACTATTCATGCCAGTAATGCCTAGGTAGAGGGAGGAGGGTAATGAGTTCAAGACCAGCTTTGACCACATACTGAGTTTGAGACCAGCCTGGATCTCATGAGATCCTAAAACAAAATCTAGAAAGAATGGTCAAGAGGTCCCAATTCCAGGTTCCTGAGGGAATCTAATTGGCCTTGGTGTCTCTCCTGAATAATTCAACTGTGACCAGTGGGACAAAATGACACAGCAGAGATATGGCTGTGAAATGCTTGTTCCTATGGGCCAGGGCAGTTCATGAGGAAAGGTGGACCATCCAGTAAGGTTTCACCACAGTCAGTCATGTGACCTCCTGAGACCCACTGCAGATCCTCTACAGCTAAGGGAACAAGGCATCCAAGCCAGGGGCCTCTGGATGAGTGCATGGCAGTACCAGGGGCCCTCTGACCCCAACATTCCTCTTATTTCTGTAAGGTCTGAGAAAGACAAGGAAGAGAGCAATCCCTTTACTTGGGGCAAAAGTCCACATAGGAGGTCTGTCAAAATCAGCCTGCTCTGTGTTTCCAGGCTGAGGAGGTAATAGTGTAGCAAGGCAGGTAGGGGAAAGGTAGTGAAAAGCTTCCTTGTGCAGGTACACAGTCATTGCTGGGGTAACTTGGTTAAGAAATACTAGGTAAAGGATAGATAAACATGTTTCTTGGAGACCATAACTGGAGATCCACGGGGTTGGGAAGACAGGAATCTGGAGACACAAGTTGCTGTAGTTATGGGAATTATCATAGAAAACCAGAATGGAGGAGGAGCTTCCTAAACCAGCATGGCTCTGGGGGAGTTCCCTGTCCATCACCCTGCAGTACAGCTCTCATGTCAATATGAAAATTGGAAAGTTGTTCCTTTTTCAGGACAAGCCATCAGGATATTAGCTATGTTTCTAGTTTCCTTTCTGTGGCTGTGAAAAATAACCTGATCAAAAGCAACTTGGGGAGGAAAGGGTTTATTTGGCTTTGCTTCCAGGTTACAGTCCATCATGGAGGGCAGTCAGTCATAGCACACCCTCAGTCAAGAAAAGAGAATGAGCCGGGCAGTGGTATCCCACGCCTTTAATCCCAGCAGAGGCAGAGGCAGGCGGATCTCTGTGAATTAGAGCCAGCCTGGTCTACAGAAAAACAAAACAAAACAAAACAAAAAAAAAACAGAAGGGAAGGAAGAGAAGGAAGGAGGTAGGGAGGGAGGGAAGAAGAGAGGGAGGGAGGGAGGAAGAGAGAAAGGAAGGAGGGAAGGAAGGAAGGAAGGCAGGAAGGAAGAGCAGAGAATGGGTGCGTGCATCATGCTGCCTGCTCATTTGTTTTCCCTAGCCCTCTTCATTCTTGTACAGCCCAGGACTCCCTGCTTGAGGACTGATACTACCCACAGTCCAGACAATCCCTCACAGACATGCCCAAAGGCCAGGCTGATTGAAGCAATCCTTCTGTTGAGATCCCTTCTCAGATGTTCTAGGCTGAGTCAAGTTGACAGGTAAAACCAACCAGCATGACCCTGACCCTGGAGATCCTGTTTAGTGGAGGAGTTAGAATATCTAAACCAGAAATGATCACAGGTAATAATGACAACAACTGACACAATTATCAAGGGCTATCAGGAGTTACAAATTAGCTCACTTAATACAAAACACATACTGTATGTAGTGCTGTTGTACCATTTTGTAAGTGAGGAAACTGAGGCACAGGGAGGGTCACTAGCATGGGTCAGTGCAAGCAGCTAATAAGAGGCCAGGGACAGCCTGCAGCCTGGCTCCTGAGAAGAAATTAGCTCTTCCACAGCCCTGCTGCTGTCCTGTAGTGCTGAGAGCAGTCCTCTTGGTCAGCCTCCTGTTATTGGGATGGACCATTCACATCCTCCGTGACTGGCCTTGTGAGTTGGTTTCCAGATGGCTAAAGTTCTTTTCCTGTCACTGCAGGTGCTGGTACAAGAGGAGCCTCTGCACTCTCTCTCCAGCCTGGTGCGCCAGGAGCTGTTTGTCACCATCACTGACCTCAGGTGACACCTGCTGTTCTTTTGTAAAACTTTAAAAGTTAAAAAATTAGAAAGGTGCTAGATGGAACCGGGACGGGCGGATGGAGCACGAGCCATAGAGAGTGCGCTAACCATAGTTTATTACAGCGGCGGAAGTGTGTGTGTGTGTGTGTGTGTGTGTGTGTGTGTGTGGACACGCATGAGAAACGAGAAGAAGGGGGTAGAGAAAGAGAGTCAAGAGCGTGAAGAGAGTGAAGTTCCAACAACACCCACATGCACCTTACACATGCATCCTGGTTTCTCATTCGGGGGCATACACTGCTAGAGCTCATTAAAATGCTCCATATTTAGGGCTGGGAAGATGGTCAGAGAGTAGAGGCACCTTCCACCAAGCATGATGACCTGAAGTTAGTCCTTGGACCCAGAGAGCCAGCTCCTACAAGTTGTTCTCTGACTTCCACACAGACACTGTAACAAATGCTTCTCCCTGACTGCTTCAACATTAAATAAATGCATACAATTTTTAAAATGCCCCATATATTTAACTTTTGACAACTATTTATATGAGTGTCTTAGGGTTTCTACTGCTGTGAAGAGACATTATGACCATGGGAACTCTTGTAAAAAGAAAACATTTAACTAGGGTGGCTAGCACACAGCTGAGATTTAGTGCATGATTGTCATGGCAGGAAGCAAAGCAGCATGCAGGAGAAGGAGCTGAGAGTTCTTACATCTTGACCCACAGGCAACAGGAAGTGCAATGAGACTCTGGGTATCTTGAGTATAGGGTAGGAGACCTCAAGGCCTGTCCCCACAGTGACACACTTCCTCCAACAAGGCCACCCTCTATGAGTTTATGGGGGACCACTTACATTCACACTACCACAGTAGGTAAAAGCCAAATCCATATTCTTTTGTGGGAACTTTAATGCCATGTCTGATGGCTAATCTTGGTTGTTGCGGTGGTAGGAAAGAAAATGCCCCCCAAAAGTGGCCTTATTAGAAGGTATGGCCTTGTTGGAGGAAGTGTGTTACTTTGGTGGTGGGTTTTGAGGTCTCTTTTATCTAAGTTTCCCTCAGTGTGACTTTCAGTTGACTTCCTGTTGCCTGCAAGATGTAGTGCTCTCATCTCCAGCCCCACATCTGCCCACACACTACCATCACCACAACCACCATCACCACAACCGCCATCACCACAACCGCCATCACCACAACCGCCATCACCACCGTGCTCCTGTCATGATGATAACAAGGAACTCAACTTCTGAAAATGTAAGCAAGCCACACACCCTAATTAAATGTTTTCTTTATAAGAGTTGCCATGATTGTCAGTTGGTGGTGGTGGCGCATGCCTTTAATCCAAGCACTTGGGAGGCAGAGGCAGGTGGGTCTCTGTGAGTTCAAGACCATCCTGGTCTACAAGAGCTAGTTCCAAAGCTACACTGAGAAACCCTGTCTAGGAGATAGGGAGGAGTTGCCATGGTCATGGTGTTTCTTCACAGCAATAAAAACCTTAACTTGTCAGCTTGATACACCTGGGAAGAAGGAACCCTATGGCCCCATCTATGAGGTGTTTTCTTAATTGCTAATTGATGTAGGAGGGCCCAGCCCACTGTAAGAGGTGCCATTGTTGGGTAGGTGAGAAAAGTAGCAGACTATGAGCAGGGTGCAAGCCAGTTCCTCCCTGATCCTGACTCCAGGTTCTTGTTTGAATCCCTGCCTTGGCTTCTCTTGATCATGGACTGTAACCTGTGAGATGAAATAACTCTTCCCCAAGTTGCTTTTGGTCAGTATTTTATTCCAGCAATTGAAAGGAACCTAGAATGTCATGAATGCTGCCATCCACATGTCAGAGACCTTAACAGAATCTCTTTGGAGTTTAGTTCTACCCAAAGTATATTCAGTGGAAAGTGATTCTCATACATGCTTCATATAAGATCTAAGGAATTTGCAAGGGTTACCTGATGTTTACATCTCTTGGAGACTTGTACTTCAGCAACTATGCTAGTTAACATTTCTGAGATGACCTGCAGTTAAAACAGTTAAACTTAGATTCATCAGAGCAGACTTGGGAAATTGTGAATTACTGCATTATAGTGCTGCAGGCTTGCCTCTGTGGCTAAGCTGGAGAAGAGCCTGGAAGGATTCTGCACCAGGGATAGGAGTGGAGTGGGGGTGGATGGAAACACTCTTCCTCCAGCCATTCATGAGATCCTTCGGAATGTATGGCTCCTCCATGCAGCTGTCTATCCCATCAGAGTGTTTGTAACACCAGCCAGTTTTCCCATCCCCTTGATTATCTTTAGTCGAGGTATCAGTTTAACATCAGATTCTCCAAAACTCTCTTTCCCTAGTTACCATGATGTGCACCTCTTATTTGGCTCTGAAGACGGAGAAGACTTGCTTGGTCTTATCACCAAAAGTATAATCTCTCTGCCTGCTGTAAGCACCCCTACCCAGCTGCTGAGCACAGCGTCAAACCAGACCAGCCACCCAGAGGTAACTCACTTTTTGCTTAGGATGCCCTCTCATCCCTGGGGCAGCTGCACTTCACCTTTTGAGAGCAATTGATGGTTTGAAAACAACTAAAAACCAGTGATGTCAAGACAGGTGGATATAGTCAAATACAGCTCATAGCTTTCTCTCTTTTTTTTAATCTGTGTATGCAGTCGTTCATTTTCCCTTTGCTCCTCCTTTCTTTTCTTTAGATTTAAAATAAAGTGGAAGTTGGACATGGTGGCTCTTGGGGAGAAAGATGCAGACAGATCTCTGTGAGTTCAAGGCCAGCCTTACTGGTCTACACAGCAGGATCCAGGCCAGCCAGAACTACAAAGTGAGACCCTGTCTCAAACAAAACAACAACAACAATAACAACAACAACAACATAATAATAATAATAATAATAAAGTGACAGTATTCACTCATATACTTTGCAGACTTTCCGTTTCCTTTTATTTTTGAGACAGATCTCTCTGTATAGACAGGATGGTCTTGAACTCACAATCCTCCTGAGTGTTGTGATTATAGGTTTGGTATGCCACCAAAACCACAACAAATATTTCCTTTTTAAAACTTAAAATTTGCTGGGCGCTAGTGGTGCATGCCTTTAATCCCAGCACTCGGGAGGCAGAGGCAGGTGGATCTCTGTGAGTTCGAGACCAGTCTGGTCTACAAGAGCTAGTTCCAGGACAGGCTCCAAAGCCTGTCTCGAAAAAGCAAAGACAAAAACCAACCAAACAAACAAACAAACAAAACCAAACAGCAACAACAACAAAACACCACACACAAAAACTAACTTAAAATTTAATTTTTTATTGTTAAGCTTTTGTGCATCTACTATTTTGTGTTGATGAACATCCATCCATTCCCCCTACTGGCCTTTTCCACACTCCTACCTCTTCCCATTTTACTGACATTTCTTGAAGGGCCACCATGTGTTAAGCATTGTGACAGAAAGAGATGAGTAGTGTGCAGCCTCACTCTGACAGCCTGCCTCTCAATGTAGAGACAGACCACTGATGAATATGTCTGCTGGCAAGAAGTACAGATGGTGTGAAGAGAATCAGAGCAGGAGAGGAGGAGGAAGTGCTGGGGCTCAGGGCACAGGGTCTTTTTATGAAAGTAGTCCTTTGTCAGGGGAATGAAAGTAAAAGAGGACCCCAGGCCGAGGAAAGAGCCAGTTTCCTCTTTGGCTGCCGAGCAGGCTGGTAAGGGAGTTATGGAAGGTGACTGGATCAGATAGCTCCCCTGTTTCAGAACATTAGTCACAAGTCAGCTTTAAAGGTGTTTTGATGACCTCTGCACAGTTCCCTGGATGTAGTCCATAACCCTGATCCTAGCAATTTTAAGATGCTCATTTGAAGAATTTTATTTCTGTTTACCTCATGCCACAAGCTGCCCACAGGTGCTTTGACTCTGGCTCCAGCCTTTAGTAAAGCCTCAAAGCTATGGGCATCATCGGATGAGCATGGGGCTTGGGGAACTTGGCTGCGAGGGAGCCTTGCTGATTCTGCACCTTTTCAGTGTCTCTACAGACAGACATTCCAAGCCTTCTCTGTGATGTTGCAGAGTCTGGTGGTAAAAGATCCACATTTGGAAAACTTTGACAACATTTTTAAGGTAAATGAAATGTCAGGTGTGGAGGTTTGAAAGATAATGCCACCCAAAGGGAGTGGCACACTAGGAGGTGTGGCTTTGTTGGAGGAAGTGGGTCACTGTGGAGGTGGGCTTTGAGGTCTTATATATGCTCAAGCCAAGCCACACCAAGTGTCTCAGTTCACTTCCTGTTGCCTGCAAGATGTAGAACTCTCAGCTCCTTCTCCAGCAACATGTCTGCCTGCATGCTGCCATGTCCTACCATGAAAATAATGAACTAAACCTCTGAATCTGTAAGCTACCCATAATGTGGAAATACTAAGATACACAAAATAGGGATGTCCTATGATATTTTATCGAGAGAGAAATCAGTTACATGAGACACCAAGAAAGCCGAGAATCAAAGGTCCACACTCTGCTTTCCAGGCCAAAACCGGAACCCAAAGAGAAAGAATTGCCTCCCCCTAGCTCTTTTTATCCCCTGTATGTTCTAAGTACCTGTGTACACACCCACATGGGTGGGTGTGGTCAGCGCTATGGATACACAAGATCTCTCCCTACATACCCAATTAAACATTTTTCTTTATAAGAATTGCTGTGGGGCTGGAGAGATGGCTCAGAGGTTAAGAGCCAGCAACCACATGGTGGCTCACAACCATCTGTAATGAGATCTGGTGCCCTACTCTAGCCTGCAGGTATACATGCAGGCAGACTATTGTATACATAATAAACAAATAAATCTTTAAAAAAAAAAAGGAATTGCTGTGGTTGCCCGGCATTGGTGGCGCACGCCTTTAATCTCAGCACTAGGGAGGCAGAGGCAGACAGATCTCTGTGAGTTTGAGGCCAGCCTGGTCTACAGAGCGAGTTCCAAGACAACCTCCAAAACAATACAGAGAAATCCTGTCTTGAAAAACTAAAAAAAAAAAAAAAAAGAATTGCTGTGGTCATGGTGTCTCTTCACAGCAATGGAAATCCTAAGGGACAAAGGAAATTTCTATGCACTGGTAAAGGTGGAAGAAAAATATAGAAGAATTAAGCTATACAAGGCAACACTGTAGCTGAAAGTACTGCTCCCCCCTTTTTTTAAATTTTATTTGTGTGTAGTGCATGTGAGTGAGTATACTTGTGCCATGGCACACATGTGGAGGTCAAGGACAACTTGCAGCCATCAAGGTCTCTTCTTCCAACACCCTGGTTCCAAAGCTGAAATGGGTATGGTCATTCTTAGCAGAAAATATCTTTAGTCACTGAGCCATCTCACCGTTCCCAAAGCTATCAGTTTTGAAGGAGAGGCCTGGATTTGAATTCTCACTGCTGTTTATTGGTTACAAGTCCTCTGCCACAGAACTGGATTTCCTCACTGTCCACAAAGACAACAATTACCCTGAATATTGAATAAATAGCCTTTAGTAAGTGGCTTTTTTGTTTATTTGTTTTTTTGAGACAGGGTTTCTCTGTATTGTTTTGGAGCCTGTCCTGGAACTCACTCGGTAGACCAGGCTGGCCTCAAACTCACAGAGATCCGCCTGCCTCTGCCTCCCAAGTGCTGGGATTAAAGGTAGCTACAATCTTCTTTACTGCTCTTTTGTAGCATAAAAGGATTTGGTGAATGGCCCAGAACCTGAGTCAATCTCCTAAATTAGTAAATAGGCAGCTTCCTGCCATGTAGGACTAAGACACAGAAAATGACTGCATGCCTCAACATTTAACCAACCCAGCATATGCTGTCCATCAATTGGGATCTAGTTCTCACATTCAGTCACTGGGATTCAAGTATGTTTCTCTTTTTAAGATGCAACCACCCCACAAAGAGAGGACCCTTCAAGTTGTTAGTAGCTCTGTACACCCGAGCACAGATGGCATTTGTTCTTGCCGCATCTAACATTGACATTATTTCTTATTCCTTTTCTATTTGTCTATCAACATGACAGTAAGTCTGGGTTCTTCCCTTGTCTGGCTGTACTTTGCGCTTTCTTGTACTTTACCAGATCCCCTAGAATTGAAGCTGCCATGTGGGTGCTAGGAATTAAACCTGGGTCCTCTGAAAGACCAGTCAGTGCCCTTAACTGTTGAGTCATGTCTCCAGCAACAGCCCTGCATCCCATCTTTGGTTCTTTAAGAGCATATCATTAACTATTTCTTTCTAATGAAGATTTGAAAGGGCTGAAAATAGCCAAAAGAATAGACTACAATATTGCAATGAAGGGAGATAAATCTAGAAATCAAGCTTTGAAAGCGTCGGAGTTTTGTGTCTTGCTTGTCAACCCATCACTTCCAATGTAAACTGCTTCATCATTAGTGTAGCAGGCTTTCTTGAACTACCAGTTCCCAAATCATGACACAGAGACTTATTAATTATGAATGCTCAGCCCTAGCTTAGGCTTGTTTCTTGCTACTTTTTTTAACTTAAATTAACCCATTTCTTTTCACCTATGTGCTACCCCAAGGCTCGTTTACCTTATCTACATACTGTCCATCCTGCTTTCCTGCTTCTTGTGCACATGGCTGGCTGGCCCCTTGCTGGCTGGCTCCCCTTTTCTCTCTACCCCACAGCCCTAACGATCCCTCTTCTGTCTAGATATTGGCTGTTCTTTTTTTATTAGACCAATCAGGTGCTGTAGGCAGGCAAGGTAAAACAGCAACACATCTTTACTTTACATAGTTAAACAAATGCAACACATCTTTACAGTTAAACAAATGCAGCACAAACAAATATAACACATCTTTACATAGTTAAATAAATATTCTATTCCACAACACATTAGGAATGATCTTTAGATATTGAAGTAATGTAGTTTCTTGCTTCACATGTTCTTTTTAACATAGTACAAGTTTTACTTCAGACATTTCTGACAGACCATGTGACCTTCCTTATTTTTTATAGCACATGGACCCCTGGCTACAGTCATACAAAGACCACGAGCGAGAACGGTCTACAGCTGTCATGGCCCAAGTCCTCAAATGCTTATCCTGTTATCTCAACCTGCAGGTGAGTAACCAACCTTGGGTGGTTAAGGAAGAAGCATGCAAGGCATCCTTTGTTGTTTTCTCTTTCTTCAACTCAGCTTGACCATGTATTCCCCTGGTTCTGGTATAGTTTCCCAGTACTCAGCCTTATTTACATATCTGACCCAATCCTAAAGTATTCTCGGTTTGAGTGCACATACTATTTGTTAGTCTTTATATCCTTGTTATTAAGCATGGCAGCTAAAACACAATGCAGTAAATGTTTCTGAATAGATGAATGAATATAATCTGAAAATGACTAAGGGGCTCACACTGACCTGAGCTCTGTGTAGTTTGTCTTTGAAGAAATGAAATCAAGCTAGGTATGCCAATACATACACTTTAGTTCCAGTATTTAGGAGGCAGAGGCAGGCAGAGCTCTGTGAGTTAGAGGCCATCCTGGTCTACAGAGCGAGTTCCAGGACAGCCAAAGCTACACAGAGAAACCCTGTCTTGAAAAACCAAAATAAATAAATAAATATTTAAAAAAAGAAAGAAAGAAAATGACATGAAGTCCAGCAGGTCAGTTCAGACTAATCAATGCAAATAATCTCATAAGCTTTCTAAGAGAATTGCACTATTGTTGCCTATGTTGAAGCATGAGAGGGAATCTGAAACACAGAAAGACCACATAGAAACCTGTACCTATGTTTCCACTCTTCTTGTCATCATGAGAGAAAGAATTTAAAGACAAAGAAGGACCTGGAAGGAAGTTTTATCAGCAAGTATACACTCAAGGGTGAATGGAGGTGTTCCCACAGTCAGTCATACCCACCTGTGTTTGGGACTGAATTTTTCATGGATAAACATAATGACTGAGAAGATTGTACATGCTCTAGGTCAGAGAAGAATTTCTAAAATAGCATCTGCTCCTCTTTTCTGTGATTACATGGAGTTTTCAGATGTGTCTCAGAGATAGAAAAGGCCCATACTGTAATGCTAATAATATAGAAACTTTTATAATGAAGCAAAAGACCTTCAGTCTTGGCTTGTGCATGGTCTTAGCTTGACTGTTGGAGTGGCCACATGATCTCCTACTATGCTACTACTCTGCAGGTGCCTCAGACCATAGCCACTGTGCTACCACCTCCATGGTATGGTTAAGGGGAACGTTTCTATTTTAGATATGAGTGAGAGAACAGCCAGAGGCATCCGGAAGAGTCCAGAACAGAGAGAGAAAGAAGTAGACTGAACATGGCCAGCAGACTGGGCCAGGGCTGTCTGCAAGAGAGGAGGGAATAGAGGAAACAGTGAGTGAATTAAGAGTGGGGCATAGGGAAAACAGAGAAAGAGTGGGTAATTGGTGGGAGGGCTTGCTCCTTGTGGCTTGCTCAACCTGCTTTCTTATAAACCCAGGACTGATGTGGGATATCCTTCTGTGTTGCTTTTATTGGTTGATGCATAAAACTGTTTTGGACAGTGGCCAGGTGGGAAATCCAAACAGAGATGCGGAGAGAAAGAAGGCTGGGTCAGGGAGACACCATGTAGCCACCAAAGGAGTTAGATGCCACAACATTACTGGTAAACCACAGCCACAGGTGATATGTAAATGGAAGTTTCTCTCCTGTCTGCCAGTTCCTGAATATTCACTCAGAGGCTTAATATTAATTATAATTTTCTGGCCAATGGCTCAGGCATATTACTAACTAGCTCTCTCAATTAAATTAACCCATTTTTACTAATCTGTGTATCACCACGTGGCCATGGCTTACAGGCAATGTTCTGGCGTCTAACTCCTTGTCAGCTATATGGTGTCTCCCTGACTCTGCCACCTTTTGTTTCTGGATGTTCTTGTCCTGGAAGGTCCTGCTGCCACGTTAGCCCCAAATAAGCACACAAAGACTTATATTAATTATTAAACTGTTGGGCAATATCTAGGGCTTCTTATTGGCTAGCTGTCTTAATTATTAACCTATTTGTATTCATCTAAGTATTTCCACATGGTCTTATCTTACCGGAGAAGGGTCTGCACCTGTTACTCCTTCCTCTACTACATGGCAACTCTTTGCGGTCTCTCTCTGCCTCCCTTTCCCAGAATTCTCCCCATCTCCTAGTCCCACCTATCTTCCTGCCTCTACTGGTTATTGGTCAAACTGTTTTATTCATCAACCAATAAGAGAAACATATACAGAAAGACATCCCCCATCATTCTTTCACTCCATATCTCTGTTTGGATTTCCTGCCTGGCTCTATTCTGCCTGGCCATTGACCAAAACAATTTTATTCATCAACCAATAAAAGCAACACATATTTGCAGTGCACAGAAGGACATCCCACATCACAGGACCACTAGAACCACCAGCCTAGGGGTGGCCCCCACCCACAATGGGCTGAGTCATCCCCTGAATCACTACAACAATGCCCTACAGCTGAATCTTTTTTTTTAATAACTTTATTCTGTGTGCATTGGTGTTTTGCCTACATGTATGTCTGTGTGAGGCGTTGGATCCTGGAGATACAGACAGTTGTGAGCTGCTAGGAATTGAACCTGGGTCCTCTGGAAGAACAATTAGTGCTCTTTTTTTTTTTTCCGTTTTTCGAGACAGGGTTTCCCTGTATTGTTTTGGAGGCTGTCCTGGAACTCACTCTGTAGACCAGGCTGGCCTCGAACTCACAGAGATCCACCTGCCTCTGCCTCCCGAGTGCTGGGATTAAAGACGTGCGCCACCAACGCCCGGCTACAATTAGTGCTCTTAACCACCGAGCCATTTCTCCAGCCCCTACAGCCAGATCTTCTGGATGTATTTTATCATCCCTCCTTTCATATAATTCTACCTTGTGTCAAGTCAATGTAAAACTACCTAGCACAGGCTAGAATTTTGGAATGTGTGACAGGTACTTGTGATTCTAAAGGAGCCTAGAGGCAGCATGAGCTTTGATATGCTGATAAGCACCACAGGTAGCCATATGACCCTTCTGCCAGAGGTAAGGGAAATGACTCCTTTTGGTAGAGGGTGTCAGTTTCCAAAGAAACTGTGGAGTCTATTAGCATACCAAAGTGTCTTCTCTGGCCTCCAGGCTTACTCAGCACTTTTCATCCTGCCCCCCCACCTACCCTAAACCTCCCCAGCTCCAGGGGCTTCACTAACTCACCTTACCCAAGCTTCTCATTCCTGTGTAACACTGTCACTTTGTCATTCTCTTGGCTCCTCTCTTGGTCCCCTTACCCTTACCCTTCTCTCCAATTCCTCTTTCACCCTCCCCCCCATGGCCCAGTTCTGCCTGGACCCTCCCAGATGCCTCTGGCTGTTCACTCCTTCGTGTCTACAGTAAAATTCGCCTCAAACCTGCCTTGGAGCAGTTAAAGTCCTCAGTTCATCCAGAGGGAACCGGCTTCACAAGTCCCTGAGGAATGCTGCCTTTTATCTGCCAGAAGTCTCCTATAGTCCAGGTTGAGCCTATTTCTGGGTTTTTGGATTGCCTTTTGGAGTCTGGGGAACTGGAGTGTTCTTTGGACCTAACACAGTTTGCTTCCTTTTCCCCTGTGCCTGTTTATTCTTACCAAGGATCCCTTTTTAAATCCTCGTATTTTTCTCATCTTCCACTTCTCAGTTGTTGTCAGACCTCTGCCGTAGCTTCTGAAAAGAATCCTCCCAAACTATGATCATCTGTCCTGGATCTATTCCTTTTTCCTTCTACAAATCAGCGTCTCTTTTTTTCTGAGCCGGTCTTGTAGTCACTAGTGCTTCTCCACTCTTCATCATTTCTCTGTAGACCGTAAACTTTTCTGGCCAGGTGTAAATGTGCGTCTACTCCCACAGATAGAACCCCAATGACAGAACAAAGTGAACCAAACTAGCTTACTTACAAAGCACGGATGACCCTAATCAACCACCAAAGTGTCTCCCCCCTGCATGCATGATGACTCCCATAGCTAGCACAGATGCAATCTCTCCTTCATCTACATACTCTCTATTCTCTGAAGCCAATACCTCCTATAGCAAGTAATTTCATCACTGACTGCTTTATAATTCCTCTAATTCACTGTAGGTTAAAGATTAAAGGAATGTTTCAAAGGATCTGTCTGTCTCTCTCTCTCTCTCTCTCTCTCTCTCTCTCTCTCTCTCTCTCTCGTGTGTGTGTGTGTGTGTGTGTGTGTGTGTGTGTGTGTGTGTGTGTGTGTGTGTGTGGTGTGTGGTGTGTGTCTCTGGGATCTTCTTTAGCCTTTTCTTTTTATCCTAGAAAGGATTGTAAGTATGCGGTGCTTAGCCTGGTACCACTGGGTCTATGAACATATCTAGAAGTTGCATCAAAAGTTGGGTGGTGTGCTGTATTGTGCTTTTCATTTTTCTTTTTTTAACTTTAGAATCCTTACATAAACTTATAATTTTTTGTAAACTTCATTATTTTAAAAAAACTGCAAAAAAAAGTCACATACCTAAATTAACCAAGCCCAAAGACTATCCAATACAAAAATCTTTCTGTGGAAGGTCTGCCATGATCTCAGAGCAAAAGGCCCTGCCTGCTCTGGGAGTCCCTGTAGATTAGCATTATCCATCTGTCCCTTGTCCCAACCAAAGGGAGGAGTGAAGACAAAGAAAGGAGCCACAATAGTGTAGCCATTGTTGAAAGAACAGAGTCAGTGACCCCAAGTCAGTTTTTAAGGGGTTGATAGGAACTTTGAAATTCTACAGAAAAGGCAATTTAAAGGAGGAGTGTGTGTGTACGTGCTGACAGTAGGTGACCTTTCTCAGGCCATGTTTGAGTGCTCACTGTCTCAGCTCCGTTCTGGAGGGGGTTTTGGAAAAGCTGTCACTGCTCCAGAGGAACAGTCAGTCCACTTACCATGAAAAAGTCACTCCTGCTCCAGGCTGCAACCTTACCATGAGGGTAACCGCCTGCAGAGGAGGAGGTGTGGCCACCTGTCCTTCAGAGCTCACTGGAGCCGGAGTTAGTTATTCCTTCCTGTCCTGCAGAGCTCACTGTGGTGAGGGTTAGTTTTAGTTCTGTGTCATAAAGATGTTTATCATCAGTCTTGAGTCC